AATATCTGGCCACGGGGTTGGTCTTGCAGTACAGGATTTTTTTTTAGGCATGCACTAAAGGAAACTTTGAACAACTGTACATGCAGCATATGCACACTTAAGTGGACTGGACATGAGCAACGTAACTTGGAGAACAACAGTTAAAAATGTGTTTTTTGTTTTGTTTTGTTTTGTTTCTTAAGGATCTGGGGAAATAAAAAATTTTCTTACAGTGGTTGCTCATGTCCATTCTACATTATGTCCATGTGCTCATCACATGCACCAGTGTTGGAAATTTTTCCCTTCATTGGTATCCATAGGGTAGCAGTGCTGGTGACCCCCTGGAGAGGTGCCTCCAGTGCATAATATAATGGATACTATGTGCTGTGTCCCCACTGCCAGTCATGGTGCTAGAACATCCTGCTGCCATGTGCTTGTGGTGTTAGTATAATTCAGCCTAACAGCCTTTTTTCCTGTAAAAAGTTGTAGTTTGTAGTTATCCCTTAGAAGTTTTCGTATAGTTAACAATTAATAGTGGTCTGTGACATGGCTGGGGGGAGGGGGAAAGACCCCATTTTGGGCAGGGTGTGAGTGTCCCACATTTGTTCCCCAGACCATGTCTCACTTGATTCAAAGGTCTCTCTAGCCCACCCCCTTAGTCTCTGGGGCAGGGTGACCCAGTGTTCAGAGTCTCTAACTTGCCCCTATTTGCAGGGCAGTATAGTTCAATAGTCCCAGTCTATAACTTACCCCTTGTTGTGGGACAATGTGACCCAATGGTCAGAGTCTATATCAGGGGTGGGCATAGGGACCTCTGTGGGCTGGATCTGGCCTGCCAAGCAGATAGATCTGGTCCACGGATGCCCTGCCACTCCCCCGCCCTCCAGGTCAGTCAGAGCCTGGGGAGCAGGAGGAACGCACAAAGTCTCTCACTCCCTGCACCTGCCCTGCAAGCACTGCATGCCCCTTGCAGGGTGGGGGAAGGGAGTGAAAAACTTTGAGCTCCTCCTGCCTCCAGGCCTTGATTGGCCTGGGGTTGGGAGCAGCTTGTAAAGTTTCCTCCTGCCCTGCAAAGGGGCAGGTGTCTAGAGGAACTGCCAGTTGTTCAGAAGAGCTGTCAGTTCACTCCAGGCAGGGAAGAGGGCAAAGACTTCATGTGTTTCCCCTGTCTCTAGTCCAATTAGGGTCTGTGGGAGGGGGAGCATAGAAATGTCCTGGCTCCGCCCCTCCTGAGGTGGACTGGGGCCATTAAAAAAAAATTAGTGAAGTGGCCTTCCCATTTAAATTATTGTCCATTCCTGGTCTATACCTTGCCCCTGTTTGCAGAGCAACACAATTCAGCAGTCACAATCAACAACTTCCCCCTCTTCATTGAGGTAGTGTGATTCAGTGTCTATAGTCTATAACTTGTCCAGTACCATTTCCCATAAATATGGACACTTCTGGGGCAGGGGAGGTGTAATGTGACCCACTGGACACAGTCTGTAACTTGTTTCAGGTTGCAGGGCAGTACAGTTCAGTAGTCTGAGTTGTTAACTCACTCCCACTCATGAGGTGATGATGCCATCTCACTTCAAGGGACAGGAGATAGGGGATGTAAACCCACCCCTGGCAGAGGGGTCCAGGCCCCCCCATTCCATTGGATCCCAGCCCAGGGCCCTGTAAGTGGCTTTCTTTAGCCCAGGGGTGGACAATAATATGAGATGGGGGGGGGGGGCTACTTTACTAATTATAGAGGCTGCAAGGGGGCTGTGTAGAGCATGGGGTGAGTGGGGACTAATTGAGTCCCTGCTCGCCCTGTGGTACTTCTGCTTTGGAAATGTACAAGAGTCCCACAGGGCTCTTGTACATTTCAAAAGCAGAAGCGCTGGCAGTGGGAACCAACACAAACAGGAATTGAAGCAATCCCCACTTGTGCCATTTCCTGCTGTGCCTCTCCCTCCCCTCTTCCCTGCAGAGATGGTGCTGGGCAAAATTGCTAAACCACCAGCTCCTGTGCTCGCGCACGCTCGCTCACTCGCTCTCCCTCCCCTTCCCCCTGCTGCCTCTGTCTGATAGAGGCAGCAAGGGAGGAGAAGTGACTAGTTGAGCTGACTAGTCACTTACATCCCTACTCTAGATAGGCCTCGCCTCCAGCCTGCATGGTAGTGCCTCGGTATCTGGGCAGTCTCTGTGGTTTGTCTGGATCTGGCAAGGCATGTCCTCTTCCTCCAGTCCCAACTGAGCTAAACTGCTCTCTTTTATAGCAGAGCAGCTCAGGCATGCCCACTAAGGCTCAGGAGGTGGAGCCTTCTAAGCCCTCAGGGCTAGTTTAACCCCCTCCTGGTCATTGTGGGAAGGGAACACCCCATCACAAGGTCCCAAACAGGGCTTTGCTTTGGGGCAAGGCATACCCTGGTGTCCAGGCTATGCAACTGCTCTAAGTGTCCTATGCCCATCAACACTCTTCATACTGGCTGTCTACACTGAGAGAAGGACAAATTATAGATGTTGTATTTGTAATCTGTAGAAATTCCTCTCCGGGCACTTCTAATGGAGTCTGCGCTAACTCCAGCACTGGAGGAAAGATCAGACTTGGACCCAAGCACTGCAGCATCAATGCAGAGCACCCTAACTCCCTCTCCCTCCCTAACTCCATCCAAGGAGGCTAAGAAACTTGGAAGTGGAAGATCTCCCATCTCCTGTAAAGGGAAGAGACTGGATTTATTTGTGTAGAAAGTTTATTCATCCTCCAAACTGTAAATCAGGGTGACCAGCCATCAAGCTCTCTTTCGCCAATATGACTACAATATGTGGCAGGCTATGGGTAAATCTGAGGGATTGCTCCCCTAGAGCTCAAGTAAGGAGTAGTGGGGTATCCTGAAGGAAGGCTCATTGGCAGCGAAGGCACCCTTCCAGGTGGCTTTGGATGTAGCTGATTCAGTGACATGCACAATGACTTTGGCCATTTCTATGCCCAGGGCATCCTCGCTGCAACTCCCTGTACTGTGCTTGGAAGCTCACCAGTTGATGCAAGAGTTTCCTTTTAGTCCATTTTGAGAATGGGGGGAGTTGTGTAGGAATGTTTTATCAGTTATGTCAGATCAATCTTTATGGAGTTACTTGCTTTTGGGCTTATCATCAAATGAGAAATACTGAAGATATCCTGAGAGTGGTCTATGTTTGCTGTGTCAAGATTCATAATCATCTAGAGACCAAGAAACCAACAAATTTGTTTCATTACTAAGATTCAAAAATTACCCTTTTACAAAACAAAAACAAAGTGGGGAAAAACCTACACAACACCACCACTCTTCAGTACGGAAGTTAACTAACGAGTAATCGATGGAATTTCATTTGTCTGAGCAGGGCTCGACAAACCACTGGAATCTACTCACTGGGGCGAGTAGATTTCAGCCGGTCGCTCCGTACGCCCCATTCACCGGCACTTTGCTCATGTGTGGTGCCTGTCTGGCGCATGCGCAGTGTGGGGCTGGCGAGTAGCTCTCGCCGGGGTTTGTCAAGTCCTGTGTATGAGTGTGTATAGACCTTAGCACAATAAGGTTCTAGCCCGTGACTAGGGTTCCTAGGAATAGTGGTCTTGCAAAAATAACCTTAACTCTGCTCTGTATATTAAAATACTTCCTACACACAAAGCCCACTTAAATTTTGAGCAGAAGACTAGGGTCTGTCCCTCAGAAGACTGCCTCTACAAAAGAACAGCTCTTAGTTCTGAAACTACCAGGTTCAGTCACAAGAAAAGTGATGGCAGGAATTAAAGCAAATTTTTGCTGGACCTGAGGTTCCTTTTTCTCTGTTATGTCTCTTTCTGGCATGCAAGCTCTTGAAGCTTCACATATGAGGTTGCTTGAAGGTCTCTGCTTTTTGTCCATGATGTTGTAAACTCTCTGGACACCGAAGCATTTGAGTAGTGCAGCCATCGGTCCTATCCTATGTCTACTTGCTGTGTGCATGGCTGTACCAGAGCCACCATCCTAGTATCTTGTACTCAGCTTTTTTCTATTCAGCTTCTGAATTTGTTGCCTGTGATGTGCTCCAATATCCTTTTATTAAATTAACTGCCGTGACCCCCTTTTAAATGAAGTTGGATTAAGGGACATCTCACTTCATTAGCTTGCAGAGAGCCCTTATTTCCTCTACCAACGAGACTCCTCTTAGCTCCCTTAATGAAAGGGCCTGGTATTTCCATCTCATGAGGGAGGATTATTGCCAAGTTGTATGGAATTTGGGTTGGAGTACCCTTCTTGATTCCACAGTTTCCACTTAGGCCTGAGGTCACCATAATCTGTCCCATAGAGTCTGGGCTTTTGCTTTATCCAGCAAACCTAAATTTATGTTGGTTTTTCCATAAACGTTGGATTTACCTATTTAATTAAAAGATATCTTAAAACTGCAAATTATCTTCCTAAGGTATTCACCAGAAGATTTCCATTTTTTTGTGTTCGTGTATGTAGACTGGGAACACCTTTAGTTCAAAGTTTTGATCACTTGTTTTCAAGAAGTGGAGTCAACTCAGTTTACATATATCCCAAATTGCTGATGGAACTATAATTCTTTCTTGTGGTTCTTGTAAGCAGGAACCACACACCACCTGAAAAATCACTAGAAAGTCTTATTCAGAATTTTAAGTTTTAAATTTATATTTATCATGTATTTAATGTAAGAAATTCCCTCCCTCCCCCATAACAAGTAGTTTTAGCTCTTTTAGTGGGGGATGGCGTGTTTTACTTCATCTGATGTTCATGATCCTCTGGAATATAATGGGACTGCTCAGATACTTCCTTATTAGTCAAAGAAGAATATTATAGAAGACTGAGAGTACACCTGGTCCTATTCAACCCATGTTTACTCTGTCTCCAACAACTTTTTAGAGTAAATAGTACTTATGTGAATAGTCCCACGTTTGTTCAAATAGTATAATGATGAGGCGATATAAATACATACATAGAATTCTTTGGGACACATGAGTATTAGTGTTCAAAATGAAATAAGGGCTGCAAAATCTGGATTTAAATGAGTTTAAAACCTTAAGGTGCTGAATTATTTAGTAACCAATGCCTTTCATGGATAATAATAGTAAACATGCTTCATTAACTCTTCATTTACAGTCACTTTTGGAAGCCCATGATATTGTGGCATCAAAGTGTTACGATTCCCCTCCTTCTAGCCCAGAATTGAATAATTCTTCAGGAAACAACCAGATAGTACCAGTAGATGCCATTCGTATTCTTGGTATTCACAAAAGAGCAGGGGAGCCACTGGTAAGTACATGTGAATAGCTGTGTCTCTCTTTGACCTAAACAATAAGAGATATTTGAGATGTTTAGAATTCTGCACTTCTCTGTACTCATTCTGGTGTTTATTTTTTATATTGAGTAATTGTAATGTGCACTAAAACTTTTCAATATCCGTTTGACAAGAGATGCAATAATGAAAACTAAAATATGAAGATACGTGATTCTCCTACACTCTTCTCTTCAAGGATAAATGATGACCTTGTTATTAGGTAGGATGATATGCTAGCCTAAGTAATATGAAGAAACTTTTTTGTATTTGATCCTAATAAAGAATGACAGAACTTAGTTAAGTCAGAGCAAATATCTGACTGGTGTATGCTTGCGTACCAATTTCCTACCTGAAGTACATATACATCCATATTTATTGTATAATATAGTGCAATAATGTCAGTATGTTAACAGTTTGTGCAGTGGTCACTATTAAAAAGTCAGCATTTTGGATAAGAAATAACTAGGATAGCTCAATAAGGTCCTGTAGTAATTGTTTGGTAAATGTTAAAATAACATTTAAGGTCAAACTCAAACAATGATATTAAACTACGTAATTATGTTATTCAATGTTTCCTTTTAGGGTGTTACATTTAGGGTTGAGAATAATGACCTGGTAATAGCACGAATCTTGCATGGTGGAATGATAGATCGACAGGGTCTGCTGCATGTGGGTGACATCATTAAAGAAGTGAATGGCCATGAAGTTGGAAACAATCCAAAAGAACTGCAAGAACTACTGAAAAACATTAGTGGCAGTGTTACTCTGAAAATTCTTCCTAGCTATAGAGACACTATTATTCCCCAACAGGTCAGTAGTATGATATTTTCATTGCTTTTGCCAAAACAGTATTTTATTTAGTGATGTTGTTTAACACATGAAATTATTATAACGAAAGGAATGGAGACAAGACTTCTCTATTGTGTTTTTGTATGCAGTCGACAGCACTCTTGTGTAAGGTCACTTTAACTCTTCACCTGCATAGCCAGACAGTTTCCCCTTTGATTCTTTCCCATACAGTAGACAAGAGGGAGAAAAATAATCTTTTAAAAGAGGAAAGAATATGTAACTAAAACCGTAAAAATTAGTAGGGGGACTGAAGAGAAAATATACAGTAAACGTCCGATAATCCAGCACCTTTAGGACCCAGGGGGTGCCGAATTATCAAATATGCCGGACTATTGGAAGGGGGGGGCCTATGAGGGGTCTGGAGTGGAGTAGGGGGATACGCCCCTCGGCGCTGCGGGACCAACCCAGCAGCACCCCAGCTGCTCTGCCCCAGGTTTCCTGGAGTCAGCCGCTGGTCAGTTTCAGCAGCGGCTGAATCAGGGAAGCTGGGGGCAGAGCAGCTCCAATTGTCCGGCTGCCCAGAGCAGTTCTGGCTTCCAGATGGTGTCGGACCATCAGGAGTGCTGGACCATTGTATGCCGGAGTTTTACTGTAGTATCTTTAATTCTCTCTTTAAAACAGATTTCAAGTTGTCCCTTTATTGTTAGGCACAGGATATATCATGTAATGTAATATTGCTATATAGCTGGTTGGAATTTTGAAAAAATGAATATTTTGAAGACTGATAATTTTTGGACTATATTTGTAATTTTTTGCTGTGGGGTTTTTTTGTTTTTGGATTGTTACTATTGTCTCGTAAGAATGAGGTATGGTTGTGTTTTTCTCTTAACTTGGAACAGTTGGTAGTAAACACAGATACTGCAAATAAACTGGAGAATGAAATACCCGGCCCATAGGATATCATGGTAATTGATGTCTTAAAATGCCTCTTACTGCTTCTTAATGTAGGTAGCTTGCTTTCTATATTAAAAAGATAGACAAATAAAGGAAGGTTCATATAATTGGATTTTAACCAGACAAAGCATAAGTGTACAACTGAGATATAGATTAATTTTAATTGAGCAACATAACATACAAAGAATATGCTTGCTTTTATATGTTGTTCCTTTACTAAAGACCAAAATGTTGTTTATATTAAGGAATGATTAAGGAAACCAGTTCTGACTGGCTATAAAAGAAGCTTTGAATGCAGTTAGGGTGCGTACGTGTAGCTGAGAGGACGGAAGAAAGTGCTGCTGAGAGCAGGAGGAAAGGAGGCAACAATTTGAACACTAGGACAATGAACTGGAGAGGAGGAGGGTGTGGGGAAGTAGCTCCGGTTTTGGAGGTGTCTTATAGCAGGTGTCAGGGACTCTCACAGGCAACTACTGTTACAGGACCCTGGCGTGAAACCCGGAGTAGATTGTGGGCCTGGGTTCCCCCGAACACCCACCTACCAATTTCCACTCAGGGAAAAGACTATGGAGTTTATTCTCTGTTCTTACCATATGCTGGCTGATAAGAACTCAACACATAGCAAACTAAAGCCCTAGGCATGGTGTCTAAAATTGTGGGCTGCTGTGAGCCTTTGAGGCAAGCAGATCCCCTAGGAAGCACAGGACCCACCAAGTTTTCATAGGAGCTTTGTCACACTAGGTACATCGGTACTATGGGTGGCAAGATAAGTGTCTTGCTACAAGTGTGGTCATGCTACCGTGCTGGCAGCTGACAATGCAGACATGCAACAGAGATTTTATTGGTGCACTCTGCGAGCAGTGCTGTAGTTTCAGCCCTATACATCTACTGGTGTAGACAAAGCCTAAGTCTTCACCTGATGATGAATGACCTGATCCTCAGTTAAATGTTGCCTTTATCACCTGTTTAGATGATCCAATGGCTGGAATCTGAAGCTAGACAAATTCAGCCTGGGAATAAGGTGTACATTTTAACCAAGGTGGGTGGGGAACTCTGTCAGTGACGATTTATAAATTAAAGTTGGATTTTCTTTTTTCTGAAAGAGCTGTGCTAGGAATGATTTTGGGTAAATTCTATGTCATACAAGAAGCTAGAGTAAATGATCACAATGGATCCCTTCTGTCATTTAACTCTGTTAGCTTCATCTCCAGGCATGTTTTGTTGCTGCAAACAGTTGTTAGGAAATATTAACTACTACAAGATGTGACCGTGTCTCTCCTCAGCCACACAAGTTACAATGAGCAATTCAGACCTGTGATCAACCCTCTACAGTGTCTTCTCATATAGAGCGAGTCAAATTCAAAGTCTTAATCCTTACCTTTGAGGCACTTAATGGCTTGGATTCAGGATTTCTAGAAGATCACTTGTAGCTCTGAGATAAGGATCACTGTTGACAACTCTGATCTTCAGGCACAACAGAGCTGTCTGCTGCAAACTGTAAAGCTCAATTGTGCATGAGAGCTGCTGTGGGAACAGAGCCAACTCCCACAGGAACTGACAACACATAACATACATTAAAAGAAAACAAAAATTGAATACTCCATATTGTCAAACTATTTTTCCTCTGGGGCGTGATGATGAAAGGATGAAGCACATATTGAAGATGTTAGTCATATCACATAATGTGTTTCTGAAGGACAATTAACTTTTATGATGAATAAAATAAAGTCGAAATGCTGAGATTTTGATACTTTTGTCAAGCTGGGGGGAGGAGGAGTGGCAGTGCACAGAGCTGCTTTCACCTCCACCTGCTAGGGTCTGTACCATGGGTGTTACCAAATTAGGAACACCTGGAATATGGATGTTCCAGTGTACTTTGGACTCTTGTTGCTTTGGTGCATTTTTTTCTCTGCCAATCTTCAGTGCTTTGCCAGGCTAGGATTGGCACACTCTTCCAGTTAAGTCTCTTCAAATAATTTTTTCCCCCCTCACTGTCTGTCTTAACCCTCCTCATGAGACTTGTCTTTTCCTTAATTTTTGTGTCTAAGTCCTTCCAAGTCTAGTACTCCTTCCTGTTCTCTTTTCTGCATAATGCTAACTGATCCCATGGAGGTCTTGAAAATCTTAAATTTCTGAAGGGGAAGTTTAAAATACAACTTCCGTGTGTGAAGAGCTTCCTGAACTTGCCTCAAAAGGACAATAGCTTTCAGATATCCATGGTTCTTCTTTTCTACCATACTGCACGAAGAAGAAAATTAAACACCTCAATTGCCAGATTTTGAATCAAGGCAGCTTATAATTCCAAAGATTCTATTCTTGCTAAATTAATCAAACCAGGTTCATCTCTTGATGGGCAGGGAAGTCCTACTTATTCTACAAAAAGATCAGGAAGGTAGTGACTTGGTCTTCAGTTCATGTGTTCTCTAAGCACAAGCCTGCCAGTGGGGTGCAAAAGACACAGTTGCTCTGTGGCCTGGCAGTTCAAATGGGCCTGGGGCTCCCGCCACCAGTGCTGCTGAAGTAGCAGCAGCAGAGTGCTGTGCCCTTTTAAATTGCCGCCTCCCACCTTGCCCAGGGCCCACGGAGGCTGTTGGATCTGCTAGCTGAGTGTTTCAAATTGGACAGTGTCTTCCACAGATGTCACTTTTTGACAGCAAGCTCGATATTCGTGTCATATACATAATAGTACAACTTAATTTGTACAATTCATCTGATAATTTTTACAGTTAACTTTCTTAATTCTTTCTTTATGGTTTCAGTGCTGTTAAAATACAATGTTCAGAATAAAGAAGCTAGTTATGAGAGACAAGCAAATCTTATCTCTGAATTTTACATTAGGGCTGTCAGTTGACCTGCGTTAACACTTGCGATTAATGCAGGACAGGATTAACACGTTAAAAAATAATGTTAATCGCAGGTGTTAATGCTGCACTGCCTCTTTGAAGTGCCACTCCGGCAGTGCAAGCGGAGCCGGGGATCATTTCAAAGGGGCTTTGCTACACAGAGCTGGGGATCAGCTGGGGACTTCAGCTGATCCCTGGCTCTACTTGTGCTATCCCTTTGAAGCTCCAATCCAGTGTATTAAACGGGCAGCGCTGCATGGAGCCTGGGGTCAGCTGGGGACTCCAGCTGATCCCAGGCTTCAGCTTGCGCTGCCCTTTTGAAACACCGCAGCAGCTCTTCCAAGGGGCAGTACTGCATGTATCCCTGGGTCAACTGGGAACTCCATCTGATCCCAGGCTGCATGCAGTGCTGCCCCATTGAAATGCTTCCAAAGCATTTCAGAGGGGAGTTGCATGTGATGAATTGATATTAAAATTTTTAATCACTTGACAGCCCTATTTTTACAATTACTACTTTCTCCCTACTTGGATTTTTTTCCTTCTTGTTTTGGTCACATTAACATTATTCTTTGTTTAAAAATTGTTCTACATGGGATAGGATTTTTAGTATTGGTCTAGAAATGTAATGAATTTTTTAGTAAATTACAGCTTTGGAAGCAAACAGGCTGGACTATTTCAGTGACTATAGGTTTGACCATTTAAAAGTAGATTTCTTTTAAAGCACACAGTTTTTTCAGGAATATGATTTATTTTAATGATGTTACTGAAGCATATGTTGGCTTACAGTAAATCACATAAGCTTATCTTAAATTATCTTTATGTCCTTAGGTGCCTCAGTGGCCCGAGAGAGAGAATTGTGTAGTTAGGGCACTTGCCTTGGGTACGGGCGACCTAGATTCAGTTCCCTTGCTCTACAAAGGGCTTCCTGTGTGATCTTACGCAAGTCACTCACCTTCTCTGTTTCTCAAATCCCCATCTGTATAAACAGGGAAGTGCTACTGTTCTTATCTCATAGTGATATTTGTAAGAACAAATATATTAAAGATTGTGAAGTGTGTTGAGATCTGCTAATGAAAAGTGCTGTATTAAAACTGGATATTATATAATATGCAGAGAAGATCCTGAAACCCCCTTTAAACTTTTTTTATCCAAGGTTTTGGCTAATACAAAAAACTGCACATGGCTGGAAAACATTGGAGGGAACATTGCTTGAGAGTACTAAGA